GGCTCCGGCAAAGCCAGTCAGAGCAAACTGCTCTAGGCCCCCACGGTCCATACAGTTTCTACCGTCTCTTGCAGAGAGGCTTGAGCGAAAATTGCAACCGGAGTTGCGGTAACTATCTGTGCATCATGAAAGAAACTAACTAGTTGAAACACGGTCCAAGACAAGCCTGCTTGAGTCGAGTCAAGGGTGAGGCCCAGCGTTACGTTGGAATGTCATTGAGGCAGTTGAAAGCGCAAAGCACTCGAGACTCTGCTCTCCCCTCGCGAAAAGAAACCAATCCAGGAAGCGCCTTTTGGCGACACAGTTGCCTCCCCGTCGACAGGCGGCTCTGAACTACAGCTGACACCCAGGCAGCTGTGGTCCTGCAGCAGAATCCTTGGCCTCCATTAGTACCGGAAGCCTGGTTCTAGTGTCAGGATCTGAAACATGGAGCCACTCCTCTTGCAAACGGCCAACCCAGAAGGATAGCAAACGAAGGTGGTGCAGTCTGCTCGTCTACTTGCAGCTGGCCAGGCAGCACAACGGCCCTGTGTGCGACGTCCACATGAAAGAGCATCGATCAACTTCCCGAGTCGGAGGAAATCGCTCCAGTCGGCGTGGCAGTTCCGGTCATGAAAGGCGCAGTGGTGCTGCCGAAATGTCCCCTGACAGCATCACGTCGCACACAGCCGGACGGCGGAAGCTTCTTCGTCTACGGAGGTGCCCCTGTGGACTGTCGCAAGACTATCTTTGCCTCATTGATGAGCACGAGAACCATGTCGGGGTTGAAGACGCGTGACCACATGTCAGAATACGCAGAGGGCAGTGCGAAGCTCTGTCAAATTCCCAACCCATCAGCTCAATGATCGCCGCCTTACGCAATGGCCTAAGCACAAACGATATCAAGTCTACAACTTACGGTGACCACAAGTCCACAATGGGACTTACAAACCACAAGTCGGAAAGAAGTCTGGGGTCACTGGGGTCTCTGCCTGGCACTCATCCCACTTCGGTATCCTGCTCCATTACGGAGCCATCTGAGCAACGCATCAGAACGCGTAAAGAAGGTGCCTGACGGCGCTTGCACTCATCGCCGCGGCCTCGGCACAGTCCTATGGAGGCCCGTTGTCGCTGTCACAGCTCAAAAAGTGACCCACCGAGCAGGCATCTCGCGGACAGAGTTGCTCCAAGACCTGGATCAGAGAAACAAGAACAGCTCAACCATCTCGAACTAACTGATCAGGAAGAAGGAAACAGGAAAACTCTGCATCAGCTATGTGGCTATGTACTCACACATGTGCTGGTGGCATTTAGTCTGTCTCTATCAGCTCAGCTGGCCACTGCCACAAGATCTGTGGGAAGGGGGGCGTTCGCCTAGCAGACCCTTCGAACAAACTACCAAAGCGGTTTGGTGGAGACCGACCTCGGCAAAGGTGCCGTCCAGGAAGGTGAAGCCTAGATAGTATCCTCCAGGCTTGCAGAAATGGACATACATTGCTGGTCTAATCGAGTTTTGGCCCGGGCTGTGCAAGAAGGTTTGCGAGCACCACTCCTGACGCGACTCGGAAAAAGAACTCCACTTGTGCTGATTGCTCCTTCTGCCTTGTCTTTCAGAAATTGCTCTTCCGAGCCGTACTTTCCATCCCCAACCAGGCAATGCCCCGCATGTGCCATGTGGATCCGGATCCTCGGGTCCGGCCGGCGCACTTGGCAGTCGCTTCGCAATCGTTTCGTTGGGGGCGAACTCGGGTTCAGGCTGATGTCGCCTCCCTGTCAAGATGCGGACAGCGACCAGGCTGAATTGGGGCCCTGCCTGCAGGCTTTGGGTGTTGGGCGGGCGTTGAGCGGAATGTTTGGTAGGGCCATGCAGTGCACTGCAGGCCTCGCCACCGCGGCGTGCGTGGGCCAGGACTTTTACCTCTCAGGTGTGAGGGCCTTGCCATGTGACCAGTGAGTCGGACATGGGAACAACCGGTCCACTGCCTGTGTCACCGATGGCTTGCCATAGTGGCGCACCTCTGAAAGGACACCTCTATAGGCCTCCTGGGGACACCTCTGCGAAAGTGTCCCCTCATTTTCGGCGGAGCCTCGCTGGGCAGATGCGTGCCCTCAGCCTGAAAGAGCGGAGTTGCCCACCCGACCCTGCTGCTAAGAAAGGGCCTATATAGTGCCTATAGGGCCCAAGCCCAGTACAAAGGAGCCGCGATTGTCTCCTGCGTTGAGGGCACCTTGAGCAAGTCATTTGGCACTGGTCATTTCGAAGATTCCGGGGATGCGTACCCAGCCGTGGCAGAGAACGATGTAGTCACGGACCTGATCAGTGGCCACACCACCAAACGAGGACCTCAGCAGCAGAAATCCTGGGCTTGTGGCCACCTGACCCGAATTCATCTGCAAGAGCAGGTCGTAGTAGGCCTCGCGCAAGAGACCGAGCCCAACCGCGCAAAACGGAGTCCGCTTTTTTTGTTGGAGGCTCTGGAGGCCGAGTCGGCCGAGGGCCTCGTAGGTCTTCGCCAGGAGGATCAGCCCGGAGCAGGGCGCATCCAAACGGTGCACGAAGCCACAGCCGGCTTCCTGAGCCGCCAAAGACGGCTCTGGTCGCTGAGAGGGGGCTCGGAGGCGAGGCGAGGCGCGGTGTCCGCAAGAAGCGGCCAGCGACTTGGAGACAGGAGGTGGTGCACGAAAGACCTCGAAACTGGGCACCCTTCTGATTCTATGCTTGTGGGGCTGGAACCTCGAAATACCCGAGCCCCGGGCGTAAGCCGGCGCGGCTCCCCCAACTTCGGCTCCACGCCGAGCTTCTGTTGGTCCACCTACGATGGAACTGAGGCCTAACATCCTGAAATCTATGTTCTTTTTGTCTAGAAAGTTAAATGTTGAACAAGGCTGCCTCTCTGAACTTTTCTGGCTCGCCTGCCAGCCAGGAGGCTTCTGGATCACGAGGCAGTCGCTTCTTTGCAGAACCTCTGCAGAAAGTTGTGAGCCGCTTCAAGGAGGGCCAAGCCTGGGAGCCTAGCCACCGTGGGCACAGGCATAGACAGCTCCTACGTCAATATTTCAAAAGTCAAAGGGCATCTCGAAGTTGCTTGGCAAGAAAATGTCGGCGAGCACTCCTTGCCATGAGCCTGAGAGCTCTCGTCGCCCTCTCCGCGCTCCTGAGACCAACTTCGGGCGCACAAAGCCGGCGCACCTCAACTTCTCTGCTGCTTTGCCCTGGCCTGGGCCGAGGCGGCCGCGGCCCGGTCCCTGCGACGTCCCAGCTCCCGGAGTTTGGGTTTCACCTGTCTCCGATTCTCCGAGGCAATCCCTCGAGAGCTCCTCTCTGAGCGCCTGTTCCACGAGAGTTCCCACGGCCGCGCCGTGAGCGAAGTGCTGAGCCCATACGACCCCCAAGGCATTCCTGCCGCATCCAGTTGTCTTGACTGCAAGAACCGAGCAGAACGTGCAGCCAAATCGTGAAGTGTACAAGAAAGCTGCAGGAGAGCTAGTAAGGGGACGGAAAGCCAACAAATCGACGACAGATTATGAGCCAATCATTACAAGCGATGATGAATCTGAACCGTGCCTACCAGTAGGTCCTAGGCGGGGATGTCTGCAAATCTTGCGCCGAGCAATCTGTAGGAAAGTCGCACCAAGCCGTCAATCCACACCAATGTTGCTTAAACAAGATTGCGGCTGTGTTTACCTCATTGGCGACAAAGTTGCTTCGAGGATGTGTGCTTGCACGTGCGGGAAAACACGCATTGCGATAGGGAAGATTGTTAAAAAGTTGATTGAAATGGTGCGTGCTGTTTAAGAGGACTTCCTCGTTTTCCCACACATTTAAGCACACTGTGAAGAGCCGGGTTTGGAACAAGTTGCATGTGATGCACGGTTGAGTTTTGCCAGCAGCGTCAGACAAGGCAATTTCACCAGCAATACCACCGGGACGGGCACCGCGACGAGCAACATGCTCAGAGTTGTCATCCGTATATCAGCAGATCATCTGGAAAGCATAGCCGTACGCGAAGATCAAAGATTTCTTGAAATCGCACCGACACAGCATGGTCAATTCTATGTCAGAGCCAATCCTAACTAACTTAGTCATGAATTACTTAGGGAGCTTCACCGCGCAGCTCCGGAACAGACTGCACACCAAGAGTGTAAAAAATATGCTCTCGCAACACGCAGCAAGCTGAGCCAAGCATTAATCTCAAGAAAACGGGGCAAACCCGAGGTGACATCAGCTAGCAAACGAATCGACAGTATATACGCATACCGATGTACATAAACAGAAGCATGCCGGTAGAAACGAACTATGCCAACTATGTGTAAACGCTCCTGTACGGGAAGGCGTCGCCGAGCGAAACGACCCGTCGCCTACTTCTGAGGACGGCGTGGCGTACACAGGCGAGTGCCTGATAAAAGGTACACGGAGAATGAAGGCTCAGGGCTCCTGGCCTAGATCAATGCAGACTGCCCGGCAGCGAAGAATCGGCTGGCAGGGCTTCACGTCTGCTCCGGATGGAGCGGCCATTACCGCGGACGACAGGCACGGCCAACCGGTCGTAAAACCGGCTGCTTATGGTGAGGACGGAGGCCCCTTCAACCGCCGAGACAACATCAGCGAGCCGATGGAGGAGGGCAGCGGCGGTCCAAGGCGATGGGTGCGTCACCCCAGCTTTCCAATCTTGCAGCGTTGCCGAAGTCTTCACCTGCCGTCTCCTGAAACAGGAGTAAACGTGTCAACACGTCGCAGCAAGCAAATGATCTTCCACATCAGTCGGAGAAAACCGGAGAACGCCGTGGAAGTCGTGCCGGTTTAAGCTGGAAACAGTTCGGCAGGCTACTTGAGCAAAGTGAGCAATTGTCCCAAGCCAAATGCCGGGGAACTGGGCTTGCTGCAACAAGTACCACGTTCACCGGTAATGCCTCTCCTGACGATGTCGGTAACCTCCGGCTCGCTCAGCAGGTTTACATCTGCAGCCTAGGCGACGGCATGAAGCTGTTGCTCTAAACCTCTAGGACTCTAGGATGCTCGGCTCTGGGCGTCCAATCGCATCGTCAGCTCCCTTGCCAGAAGCTCGAAGACCTCTCAGGACAGGTGGGGGGAGCGTTCCGAGAGATGCGACGCGGCCGCCCAGCCAGGGGCGAGCCTGAATCTTGGAACCGAGGACAGCGGAAGCCCAAACCAGGTTGGAGAGGCCTTGCCTCCGAGATCATATACACAACTCTTCCAAGCGACACGGAAGAAGCAGAACGTGCCAGGGTGACAGGTTGAAATCGGAGACTCGTTTTGCAGCTTCCGCTGCGACCTCAGAGTTGCATTCGTGTGCTGGCGATCCAGGGCAGGCAAGTCTCCTCTTCCGTCCTCGGCCTCTAACCCCTTCCAGAACTCCGGAGGCTCCTGCTCCTGGGCCGGTAGAGACACCTTAAAAGGCAAAATGGCAACCTGATTTCTCCACGGTCCACGAGTCTCTTGCCCAGCCTTCGTGGAAACTCCCTTCCGCATGCTGGCAACACTTTCTTATCAAGAGGTGAGCAGAATATGAGATGAACGGGGCAGTGGAACCACAACGGATCATCCTAATTCCTGCAGTACATAGGAGTTTCCGATGACGCAGCGCCATGCTTTGACGAGCGTTTGGGATCCTGGCTTAGGGAGGCGAAAGCCCACGCAAAGTTGCACCTTGAACCGTCGGAGGCTGAGCTCAGAGCACCTCTGCATCCCGAGATCTCAGTTCCATGCAGATTCTGGGTCGTAAACTCTTCCAGCCTCCGCGTGTGGACGGCCGTCGTTGGCATAGTCAGACATGGTGCTGGAAGGGGGTCGACTTTTTGCTGCAAAGATGGTCAAGTTGCTGCCGTGTGCGTGTGCTTATGTGCGTATGCGTGGGTGCGTGAGCGTGTGTGTTGGTGTGTGTGGGTGTGGGTGTGGGTGTGGGTGTGGGTGTGGGTCTGTGTCTGTGTCTGTGTTTGTGTTTGCGTCTGTGTTTGTTTGTGTGTGTGTGTGTGTTTGTTTGTTTTTGCTTTTGTTTTTGCTTGATCGATTATGCAGAACCTGCAATGTTTAACAACAAGAGGCTGGGGATATCGTTTTTCGTGCACTCCTAGTAGCGGCGGGTCCCCGGCTTCCTGGTCGGCTTCCTGGTTGTCTGGTTGTGGGGCTTCGGTTCCGCATTCGGAGTTTTTCGGCTTGTGCGTTCGTGGTTCCTTCCCGATCAGATCCGTTGTCTATGCTATGTGTGTGCGTGTGTGTGTGCACCGTTTCTTCGATGAGACAGACAGGCCGTTTGGTGTGTGACGAGGCTCCGAAGCTCCGGCTGTCCGGGTTTGTCGCGCATGGAGGGGTGCCGTTAGTCTTAGCCGCGCCTCGGATGGGCCGCTGCTGCCAGGGCTGCAAACAACTCCGGGGCTTCCTCAGACACGAAGCTGCTGATGGAAGAGAAGGAGATTGAAGGACGAGGGCAACAGCCTGTGAGAAGGCCCTTGATTCTCTGGGCGCGACACGATGCCGGCCTTTGCAAACGCCCAAGCTAAGTTCGACCTCCGGAGCGAGGGAGATTCCACGGGATATGAAAGGCCGCTGTACCCTGGGCGCACAACATCTCCTGCACGTTGAAGGCATCCTGCTCGCCGGCAGCCTGCAGCTTTGGCCGCGAAGTTTCGGCAACCTCAGTTACCGCCCACGAAACTTGAGGGCTGAAGTGGGCGGAATCACTGAGAAGTCGCAGCCATGCTGACTGAGCGCCCTGCAGCGTGAAAGAGCCTCACTATCACTACGAGTACAGCATTGCTTTGCAACTGCAAAGGCCCACACCGGAGCATTTCTATCTGCTTTTGGTATAGCCAAACAACCGTCCGAATCGTCAGCCCGAGGCACTGCTTTGCTGCGCTCTGCACTGCACCGAGCCCCAGACTCCTCTACCTTCCGCCTGAAGGCCCGCTCGTCCTCGGTCCCAGCTCCATCCTATGGCGACTTTTCGCTCCTCAGGTGCTGTGGCCCCGGCAGAGCTCCGGGAAGAGGACTGCGGCGCAGCAGCAAAGGCCCAGGCCAGATTGGCCAAGCCCTGCAATTCCGCATCGGCACCACCGCATGACAGGGGGAAAATCTTGGGAAGCTGACCCGCCTGCGCGCTGAACGCCTCTGCACGAGACAGGGACAGGGGGTGTGCATCATAGGGGAGTGAATTGGTGAAGTCAAAAGACACTCAGAGCTGGAAGCTTGGCAAGTTCATGCATAAATGCAGCACGCCGTCAATTTCCGGGATCAAAGGTCACGGAAGACGGATCAGACGCCCATGCTGCCTCTCACAGTCTACGCCCTGTGACCGAGTTACATGGTCTGCCGTCGCCGTAGCGTTCGTGTTTGCACAGACAAACGCGTTTCAGAACTCCTTGCAGCGGTCAAGACGAGGGATGGGAAAGGCGACGGAAAAGGCGAGCGGCAAGCCAAAGTCCAAAGGTCGCGACAGACGGCGCTCGCGGAGCTCTCTCTTGCTCTCTCTCTCTCGACCAGGTCAGCGGAAAGAAGCGCATGCCCCCTTCCGCGCAGGCGTACGCGCAGCTGCAGGTCTCGGCAGGGTTTTTCGAACCCCCACCGTGGAGCTATGCTCCAGGTGGCTCTGCTGTACGAAGATCGTCGGCTCTTCTTCTTCTGCTTCCCCAGGGCATAGGGGACGGGTCAGGGCCCCCGGCCTATTGGCCCCCCACGTATTGTAGGGCTTTCGAGGGGAGCGAAAGGTGTGTTCGAGTTTCGGATATTTTTATTTTATTTTTGTTTGATATTATTTTTAACTCGTACGGGATGAGAAAGGATATTGGGTCCCCCGATACTCGAACTGACAGTCATGCATGGACGCCTGAATTTCGTTGCTGCATCCGTCGGCTCGCTCTCTCTCTCTCTCTCTCTCTCTCTCTCTCTCTCATGTGGGAGGCCCAGGGAGCGTCCAGCCCTGAACCTCGGGCGCGAGCGCATACCGGCCGCGGTCCTCGGCCGTCTTGTTCCTTCGCGGGTGCTTCCCCCGGACTGGGAAGTAAGGAACGGCCACTGGCCCCGGGTTTGTTTCACAGACAGCGCAGCAAACTGACTAGTACCGAAGCGTATTAGATGTTGCTTCCCCGTCCCCGGGTTCAGTGGCTCGTCCCCACGACAGCAAGCAGGTTGTGGGCTTCACACATGTGCAAACACATCAAGTACGAACACATTACGAAGTCTGCAAAACGATCACTCTGAGGCTCGCTCTCGCTCTCTCTCTCTCTCTCTCTCTCTCTTCTTCGACACAGCCAGAGAAAGGGCACGTCCGAGCCCTCCCCCGCGCGCTCTCTCTCTCTCTCTCTCTCTCTCTCTCTCTCTCGCTCTCTCTCTTTTTCTTCTTCAACACAGACTAGAGAGAGGCACGAGTGCACCCCCCCTGCGCGCGTACGCGCCCTGGTGGTCTCTGGTCCGACTCGACGACTACCCGCTGAGGCCGAGAGGTTTGCAACTGTCAAAACCCCCTCTCTTGGCTAAAGAACCCCCCGGCCTCTCGCAAGCACCAAACTAAGGCTCACACCGGCTCCGTGGTTCAAACTCGCATTTTCACGAGCATGCTACCGCACATGATCTGGACGTCCCCCAAAGCAGACAAGAAGCGTGCTGCATACTACATACAAGCATTACGCAAGTGAGGTCCCCGACTCAACGTCCCTACTTCTTCTCCAGGGCTCTCTCTCTCTCTCTCTCTCCCCCGGGCATGGGGACGTCTCACCGTCCCCGGGCCTCTCTCTCTCTCTCTCTCTCTACCAGGCTGGAGAGACTAGGTGCGTCCAGCTCGCTCTCTGTGTCTGTCTGCAAGAAGCCTGAAGCAGACAAGCCAACGACCATGGCTGGTAACATGGTGATTGGAGCTCGGCGACACGGACAAACGGTTGCGGATGGTCTGCAAGAGTGGAACATGGACTGCGAGACTGCCAGCATGTTGTGGTCGGCAACCTCGAGCTGTTGGGAATCTGACCGAAGGTGCTTGGCCGCCACTCTCCTCGATCTTCGTGGGTGGGATGGGATCGCCCCCAACAGGCCCCAACATGCACGGTCGCCTACTTGGCTTCGCAAACATGCTAAACGGTGAGCTGTGTTGAACGCTTGTCAGATGGATAGTGCTCCACGTGTGATGCAAACTTTGCTTTTCCGAACGCGTCTGCCTCCAATGCTTGCTTAACTATGTCCGAGAGGGTTTCGATCTGTCCCAACTCCCAGTAGTGCAAAGCGACCAGTGCTGATGGATGGTCCTAGATTGGGGCGTGGCGAACCTTTGGGCTCGTCTTCTTTTCCAACGAGCCATAACGCCCTGCTGGAGACTCGCTCTACTAATCATGCCTCCTTATGCGCGAATGATTCGGTGGTTAGTCGTGGACAGGATCGGCAGCTCGCCTGCACTCAGAACAAGCCAAAGAACAAGCGTTCCCATGGGCCTCGCTGTCAAGAGCAAAACAAGCTCATCTTGACACTTGCGGCAAGCCGCCATGAGGCTTTGGTAGACTGTGTGCCTGCGTCTTGTGAGATGCTACATCGAGCCCAGTTTGCAGGAAGTTTTCCTGTACCAAGCATTTCTGCCACAGCATCTGCTGCTTGTGTTCCCAGAGCTTTCGGATCTGCCGAATATCGTGCATTTGATGGGCCTTTCTTGCCGGTGTTTCCGACCCAGAGATGCCTGGACCGATCTGTGTGTGTCAGCCAAGCTCACGAAACACGCTGCTCGACCGCAGCGACGACTATGCCGAGGGCAACGTCTCGTGCCTCTTGTTTTGTTGAGAATGGTGTTAGATTCTTCATTCCCCTTCTCAGAGCGCTCCGCTTGTTCCGTTTCCAGTTTGGGAGACCAACGAGCACCACCACACAAGACGTGCGGTCCATCAAGGTTGCCGGCTGCTTCTGAACATCAAGAGCTGGCTGAATTATTGAAACTGCAACTCCAAACAGGGTCTCAGACTGTCTCAGAGCTCTCTCATGAAAGGAGGTTTTGTGATACCGGGCTACCGAGCCTTCAAGCGTTGCCGGGCCACAGGAGCCAGCCGCCGCAGCAGCAAAGCGGCAGAGCCCCGAAGCAGCTCCGTGTCTTTCGGCCGGACCGAGCCGCCGCTACTCGCAGAGCCCGGCGGGCGGCCAGCCGCAGCCTGCGCCTGCGACGTCGCAGCTAACCAGGACAAGGCTCCCCGAATCTGAGGCCCGAGGCTTAAACCTTGTCTTGGGCCCACAGGCGCGCAGCGGCCCAGGCGGCATTGGCAATGTCATGTGCATTCGCATCCTCGGCCTCAGGCACTTTTTGGTTAAGCGACTGTCACAGTGGCTGAATGTGGTGGAATGAATTCGCAACACATGCCATCCCTGGCCGGCCTGGCTGCGCAGGAGGCTTGCGGCTCTCCTCGCGAGCTTGAAGACGGGCGCGCGGCTGCTTTGGCGCTGCGACACCGGCGACTTTTGCAAGGCGTCGTTAATGTACGTCAGGGCGACAAGGATGTTGCTGAGACCACGTGTGGCAATTTTATCCTGCTTCAGGTGGGCGTCCACGAGTGAAACCACTGCCCGGACATCCGACACCTCTGCGGCTGTGCCTTTCAGTTTCCCCAGCTTCCAAAGACATGTGATTGCATGGATTGAGTCCAGTCTGTCGTTATGAGCTCTGATGATCTCGAGAATGTCTCGGGAAGTCGATGTCTGATGAATCAAGAGTGTTAGCTCCTTCTTCGACGGCTTTGCCCGCCAACGCCGTGGCAGTGCTGAAAAGCATCGCGCAACTAGCTTCCTGGTGACGCCCTGCACGTGAAGGTTGAGACACATCGAAGCATTGCTCCGACAGCTCGCGCCGCTGATCACGGCCCTCAGCCCCGCAATTCAACTATTGAGAAGGTGCTCCAAAGTCCTCAAAGTGAATATGAGTGCATGTAACATTCAGCAATTGAAAGGACATGCACATTCGTAGCTGGAGAGGAAATGCTGCGACAACGATGCCTGCAAAGTGGCATGAACAAGCTCGAAGCTTCCGGGTGCGAGTCATCTCTGCGGCATTGTCACTCTCTTCTCTCTCTTTCCGCTCGGCCAGCTCTGCACACCTTGAGCGTGCTCCGAATGCTCTCCGGGCAGTGAAACACACCCAGGGGTGCCTGGGCAACTTCGTTAACATCGCACAGCACGCCTCCATCACGGTTCGGCGAGCGGCGAGCTCTCTGAATTCATATGGGCGCGAGCATCAGAGCCAGCGCGAGGAGGCCGAGGCCGAGGCTCCGCGCGTCCTGTGTCTCTGTGTCTGAGTCTCTGAGTCTGCGCTCCGTCTCACTTCGGGAAGCGACTCGGGGGCCCGGCCGGCTTCGCCAGCAGCGCTCTGCTGGCTGTGAGAGTAGCGGTCGTCGTGGTCTCGGCATGGTTTTCAACAGAAACGCCAAGGGTCTCTCCACTCTCACAGTGTATGGCAGTCCAGGCACGGCCGAGACAGTTATCGTGGTAACGGTGGAGCTGGAGAGCGTGGTGACGCTTGTCGCTGACCTGAGAAACGGCATTCTCCGGAATCGCAGTCCGGCATCTTTCCCGGGCCTCGTGGTTGTGTAGCTGGTGCTGGAGTGCATGGATGTGGTTGTCGTGCCCGTGACCGTGCTGTTGCTGGTTGTCCTAAGAGCGTCGCGATTGACAGCTGCACCTGCTATGGCCGTGGACTATCATGGAAATCTCAGACCCTCGCGTTGTGCTTGCGGTGGTGTTCGTGAAAGACCTCCAGTCATGAAGCACGCTACCCGTACCACAGGAAGCCCTTTGAGACGCTCCATTATAGGGTGAGTCCATAGCGTAGTTTGACTTGTCGTGGTAGACGAAGTCACCTGAAGATCGACGAAGCCGACAGAGGCCTTGGCGGCAACAGCGCGCAACAGCGGCCTTGTGACTCCTTCGGAAGCGAGCTTCGGGGCCCCGGCTCCTCCCAGCAGATGCCAATTTTCCTCAGAATTTTTTAGGGCAGTTTCACCAAGTCGCCAAGTCGCCAGCGACAAGCAACACACAGAGCGAGCCTTGTACGGACTGATCTGAATGGCCGTTGCGCCAGCAGGAACCTCAGGGCGAAAGAGGTGGCCACTTGTATCTGCTGGTAGGAGCTGCTGAGGTGCCAGCAGCAACGGACTTCAGATCAAAGCCTCCGGCTTCGATGTCTCTAACGACTCGGGGACTCTTCGACACACTCCGGCAAGCTGAACAAAGCCGAGATTCTGTAGCGCCAGGGATCACAGCAAACAGCCGGAGGGTAGGTGCGCTTTGGAACCTGCTGTCGCCGGATGCCCTTTGGAATTAAGCGCTTCCAACCTCGCAGCCAGCCTTCCCAAACTCCGAGAGTTCCGCCCCACCTCCAAAGACTCGCATCACAGAAACGCCCGTTTCGAGAGCCAAACCGCAGCTTCTCGTCAAACTTAGTCAAAGACATGCATCCACGAAGGTCAGCCGGTAGCCCCAGAGAAGGCTCTCGTCAGCCTCCCCACCTCGTCGAGTCCCAGAGTCACAGCCCACAGAGGTTTCTGGGCCTCAGCCTCCCCCAAGTCCCCACTGCCCATGGCCTCGCTGGTTTGGGCCGAAGTGCAGGCGGCCGGTGAGGACCCCCGCCCGCGGGTCGCTGTCCACGAAGGCCTCGATGCTGCAGACCTGGTAAGCTGAGGGCACTTTTGTTTCGGGGGCTCGGGCACAGTTGCACCTTGCAGAGCAGGTTCCGCGACATCGGGATCAGTGTGATGTCCTGCGCTTCCGGTGCTTGCGCATGCGCTTGCGCATCAGCTTCTCCGAGGCGCAAGGCGACTCAGCTCCCAGCATCATCCATGGGACAGAAGAATTGAGTCAGGCCGGACTCGTAGCACTCCTGATCATAGAGCCATCTCTCAAGTGCAGAATTTGGCCGCAGCGTGAAGGTCCGCACACTCGCCTGAAGGCTTTCGGCCCACATCTCGATGAAGAGCAGCTCGCAGAAGCCGCCTCGGCCTCGGATAGGCGGAAGAATCTCTCCCCGCTCCGGGAGCCGCCGCGCGCTTGAGCCACTGGCCCACGGAGTTGCAGGAGCTCCCCGTGAAGAACTTCACGCCTGCGAAAAGAGTGATGCTCCGTGAGACTCAGAGGAAGCGAGGAGAGAGGAAGATCCTCCCTGCAGAGCCTGGCCAGATATCGCCTTGCAGCGAGGAAGGCGCGAGTTGCGGTTTGTTTTTCCGCGTTCTCGGCAAGCCGGGCGCCCCCACGTGTGTCGCAGAACTTCAAGGTGGTGGTTGTGGAGGTCGTCGTCGTGGAGCTGGTGGTCGTCGAGCTGGCACAGATGCTATGGCAGCTTAAAGAGGCGGCTACCGACGGCTACCGACTGGCGAGTTGCTTTGCTCGGGCCTGGAGCTGCTGGTGACACCTCGGAGAGGCAAAAAATGGGCGCTAAGCGCGGCTCTCCACTCTCTGACTCTGCCAAGAGACTGGAACTGGAAGAGGTGCTGCTCGTTGATGAGGTGGAGGATGAGGATGTGCTCGAGATCGTAGACGAGCTCACCGTGCGTGTTGTTGAGGTGGTGGTCGAGGAAGTTGTAGCAGTTGTGTTCGAAATCGTGCTTGTACTGCTGACAGTGGTGCTGCTGGACGTCGATCTTGTGGTGGTAGTATAGGTCACAGATGATGCGGTCGAAGTTGTGCGTGTACTAGATGTGATAGTGGCACTTGTCAAAGTGGTTGTGGAAGTGTCTGTCGCAGTGGTGGATGTCGTCAGCGTAACGTTGAAGTTTGTGGAACTCGTTGACGACAGTGAAGTCGAGGACAGCGTCGTGGACACAGTTGTTGTGGACGAAGTGACGGACACAGTAGCAGAAGTCGACGTGCTTGATGTCCTAGTCTCCGATGTCGTGGTGTCTGTGGAGGTGGTGTCTGTTGAGGAAGACATGGTCGAAGTTGAGGATGTTGACGTCGTCGACAGCGTCGTTGACGACGACCCCGTTTGCGTCGTTGTGGACGAGGAAGTGTACGTGGTGGAGGTGCTGCTGGAGGTCTCTGTGCCACTGGTGGTTGTGTTTGACTGAGTGGTTGTGCTTGTCAGAGTCATGGTACTACTGCTGACCGTTCGTGATGAGGTAGATGTAAATGATCTTGTGGAGCTCGTGGAAGAGGAACGGGTGACCGACGTGCTTGTAGTGGATGAAAGTGTTTCCGAGGAGCTGCTAGTGACGGAAGTTGTGCGGCTCGTGATGGAAGACGTGCTGCTTGTAGTGGAAGATGCAGTGCTTGAAGTGGATGTCCAGGACGACGAGGTGCTCGTCGATGACAAAGTACTTGTAGACGAAGCACTACTTGTGGTGGTGGTCGTGGTTATGGTCGAGCTCGTCGTTGCCGTCTCAGTTGTGGTTGTCGAATCTGTAGTGGTGCTTGTCCAGGTTGTAGTAGTTTCGTTTGTCAAGTTCGTGAGGGTGGTCGTTGAAATTGAGATTGAGGTGGTGGTTGAGGTGGACGACTCGCTGCTAGAGCTCGACGACGTGCTCGTCTGCGTTTGAGTGGTGGTCGTGGCGTTGCACGTTACGGCCGGGTCCTCAAGGAGAGCAAAACTCACATAAATGGGCCAAAGTGTCCAATCTCGATCCTGTACTCAACTTGAGCTCACGCCCGGGAAAGAGAACCCGCAGATAAAAAGCAAAAGAAAAGACAGAGCCTGTCGGGTGCTCCCCCTCTGGCTCCTGATGCTTGAGCAGCGCCGTTCCGAGGAGGATGCCGGGCGGCAACATGGCATGGCCTCATTTGCAAAGCACAAACTGCTGAAACCTGGAGGCTCGGCAATGCTCTGCAGCTTGGTAGCAGTGGTCGGTCGCGGGCACTAGCCAGGGCAGCCAGGTCTTGGAAACGCACAACGCAAAGGCCCGGACACTGCGGAACTTCGGGAGACTCAGAGCAGGGCGTGGGCAAGTAACCACTTCCATCTGATCATTGCATTCACCTGGTTCTACAGACGCGTGCATATCCTGTCTTCACCAACCTTGCAATAGACGCGCCTCATTCCAAGCTGTTGTTGCCGAACCATGCCACTGTTCACAGTCCCTGTCGGGGACTTCCGTTTGAGCCACAGAAAACCTGGAACGCCGGCAGAAATCAGCCAGTCTAATGAAGCAAGAGTGCGTTACGGTATCCTATCCACAAAAGAATTCCAACACGACTCCGTTCTAGATACACGAAATTATTGCGGCATTTCTCTGTTTACTCGTGGGTGGGTTGGTGGGTGGGTGGGTGGGTGGGTGGCTGGGCGGATCGGTGTGGATGTGGGTCCTTGTGATGTGGATGCGTGTGATGCGCGTGCCTGCAAACTTTGATCAGGTGCAGAGAATGAGGCACAAGCAACGCCTCAAAACGACCGGCAGTTAGAACGCGAGCATGCCCAATGGCAGGAGGCCGAACTGGCAGCTTTTTTCGAGACTGATCCCAGGCTTGCCAGGTCCCATTGAAAGAGCTGAGCAAGAACCGAGAGCTAAGGGCATGCAGGCGGATTTCGCAAAGTAGAATCACGGAGTATTCGGCAAGCCGACGTGCACGCCAGACTTTGCATGTCGTCTGGCCCCAGCCTGCGAGATGCGAGCCCCAAAGCGGGCACTCTACGCAAACTTTCTCAAAGTCTCTGGAGCCTCTAGGCGTGGCTCCAGGATGGCACGAGCCTCTGACACCGATCACGTGAGCGGCCTTTGACTTGGTCCCCCGGCACCTTCTGGAGCTCGAACTGCATCATGAGGGCCCGCCTAGGCTCGACAAGGGGAAGTCCCGCGCTTCTCAGCCTCGAAAACGACGAAGCGCCTTGTCGCAGAATCGGCCTCGCGAGAGAACTCGGAAGCCCGGTGGCGAAGACCTGGGAAGCGTCGGGAGGCCCCCCTCAGAGGAAAGTGGGGGTTTCACCACTTGCCCGGCTGCGCTCGGGCCACCACGCTTGTTGTCCGCAGACTGCTCACCTCAAGACAGAGCTCCACAGCTAACCCAAGACATACACGCGAGATGTTCTCGGCATCCTGCATGCAAGCAGGCGATGTCCGGTTTCCTGGCTTCTGGCTTGCAAAGCACAGCCCATCAGAAGGGGCTTTCAGCAATTTCAGCACGATGGCGGCATGGAATGCCAGTGTCGGCCTGCAGTCGGCATCCGGTCGATCGCAGCAACTGGGCGCAGCTCGCCACCGCCGCCCTGCAGTGCCGCTTGCAGCGGCTTGCAGCGGCTTGCAGCGGCTTGCAGCGGCTTGCGGCTTCAAACCGAGCCTGCAAGTCTCCCGCGCATCGCGGGCCTCGTTCAGCTCCTGCTCTGCAGCCTGCAACTGAAGGGCGCACTGCAGTGCTGTCTGCTGATGGCCATGGCGCCTTCAGCCGGGGATGACTTTCCCGCAGCAGTCGCCGGGCCTCAGAAGGGCGGCCGCCGGTCCACTTGGCAATGGTCATCGGGGGGCCACAATCCACATCCCGCGAGTTTGGGACTGTCTCGAGGATCTCCGTCCTCCGTTGGGCTTGGAGGCCTCACTTTCGAAGTCTTCAGACGTTCTGTGGGCCATGGGCTTCTATCGTCCGCCCCCGGGCGTGTCTGCAGAAGCTCTTCTGCATCCCAGTCCAGCGCCTGGCCGGGCCCGCTTCTGCTGCAGAATTGGAGATCTGGGGTGCAAGCACCGCCTCGTTGGACTTCCGAGCCTTGGTGCCTGACATCAGGGACCCCAACCTCCCAAACATGCCCTTGGAGACAAAAAGCAGGCTTCGCCGGGTCATCCAGTGCAGTCCAGTGGCGCATTGGCTCTTTGGCGAGATGCCACGGCTATAGGCATGCACCGCAGTGCGGCAGTTGCAGCAACTCTGCAAACAACTAGATATGCCAAACATTGCGACTGCCCCGGCCATAGACTTGGTATGAGCTACCCAGCTCAGCTAGCCTTCAGACTTTCCTCTAGCCGCTCCAGCCTGAATTCCTGCGGAGACACAATCATCCAATAAAAAGGGGCCTTGGAAGCGCCGGAAAGGTGGGCTCAGCGGCTCGGCACTGCGTCGATTTTTTGGTGGAACTTGTTTTGCCAATCGCCTGTTCCTCGAGGCTCCCCGGATTGGCAAGAGCCTGGGTCAAGCTCTCGTCGAACGAGTTCAGCGACTGCCTTTAAGTGCTTAAGGCACTTAGGGCCCCCGGCCCCGCCCCACAGCAGTCCGGACACCTTCCGGCAAGGCCGGGGCCTAGGCCTAGGCGCCGCCAAGGCTCCGCGCCTTCGGACACGCCAAGACAAGTGCCTGCGCCGAGCCTGGGCCTCCCCTGCCCCCTGCCTCGTGGAAGATGCCGACGATGGCCGCCAGCTGGATGGCGTCGCTGCATCCCTGCGGGGAAACTCTGAGACTGAAGCATCACCACCACAGGAGGGCCGATGGCGGCGCCTGCTTCAGACGCCAATCGACGTCGGCCAGGGCCACCGTCAGCTGCAAGCGTTGCCGCACCTCCCAAAGCGAGCGAGAGAGAGAGAGAGAGAGAGAGAGAGAGAGAGAGAGAGTGAGTGAGAGAGTGAGTGAG